AATATCATTTGAAAACTTGGGCGAGCCCATTGTTATAGATGGAGGGTGGTCATAATGTAATGGCTCTTCAGTATATATTGATATTATGCTACCCTCGACTGATACCCTCGAGAAAATAAATAAATAAAAATAGCATAAAAAAATCCATTTTAAATATTACAAAAAATGAATAACTGAATAAAGGCAAGAAAAAGAATGAAAAAAAAGTTCTTAAGGTTTTACTTATTGCTACAAGCACTTTAAATTTTGACAATTTTTCCTCATATGTACTACATATTTTCATGTGAAATTGTCCATTTGCCAAAACAAATTACAAAACGATGGTAGATGGTCTATTAGTTGAAACAAATTACAAAATGATGATTGTTGAGAATTAACGTTTTTCTGCAGATTATAGAGGGAAAAAAATCGTATTTTTACCAATAGATTAAAAAAAATACAAAATCTTTGAGCTGAGCTTACGACCTAAGACTCAGTGCAATTAATAAAAAATATAAAACATAAAAACATGATTTTATTAAATGGTTAGAAAAAAAAATTTCCGACAGAAAAAAAATAGAAAAATAATGAATGCAAACATTTGTCGCATATGCAAGTATACTCACAGTCTTGAAGCTTCTGATGCACCATCGTCTCCTTCTATACGATATATTTTTCCATAACATACATATTCGAATGAGTCAGCTCGTGACGGACCCCCTTCGCCGATGTTATTCCACTCACCATCATCGGGTAAGCCACTTTCTTTCAGAGTAGAAGCAATTACCAGACGGAATTTATCTCCTAAAATAAATAAATAACACATTATTTATATTCATTTAAAATGCCACCTAAGTGAAACCTTCACATGGATAAAAGAACATAACTAGGGGGAGTCCACTCTCTTCTCACAGAGCCCGCCAAACCTTGGAATTAGTTCAGATCACTACACAATCTAAGCTTGCTTTGCTCATGTATTGGATATTACTCTATTTTAATCAGATACTCTTCATAAAATTAATTTCTAAAATGTGATACATATTCATCCAAGGCAACCTTTAATTCATATACATATTTCGGCAGTATTCCGTATGGGTTAGTTTTCAGAAACTATTATTACAGCACTTATATTAGTACATTAGATAACTGTCCATAATTAATTTAAGCATCTCTGGCGTCGCTAATAGTGTGGTGATTTTTTTATAGCCTCCTGATACAGAATAGTACCTACAGTTCTTTAGAAAATGTGTAAAAACCAAAGAAAAAGATAAGAAAACGAAGCAAAAAAGCACCAAAACAAAACTTTTAAATTTCAATATATTTCAACAACGTTATTCAACACTAGTAGCATAAAAGTGGATTATACTTTAGAGTCATTCTATTTTGACAAACGAAACTTTCAAAGCCGATTTTACTACTCTTTTTACTTCAAACTTTAAGATCAAAAAATAATTTATATTCATGTACGTGGATTTATAATGTAAAGTGCACAAATCCCCCACCCTGAATAACTTTGGATCTAACGATAGGATTTTCACATACCGGGACTTGAACTTTATGGTTCACAGGGGGGGGGGACCTCAAATATCAGGTCAGAGGAGTAGGTAGAGAAAGTGACCGACTCCGACTCCTAGAATTTTAAGTTTAAAAACTCTGACTCCAACTCCCTCATATGTATGTAAACATAAACACATGCGTTACACTTTATTTTTTCCTTTAAAAATTAAAAGAAATAATAGATGCTATGGGAAAAGAAATGACTGCATAGCAGATTATTTATAATAATTAGCATTTATTACGAAATGGAAAAATTAGCATTAGTAATTTCTAAGAAACAGTATAGCTACGGAAAGATCTTAATTCGAGGACCGTAGTTCCGATTTGATAAATTTCAGACTTGAAAATAGTATTTCCACACTAATTTGAATAGGAGTTAGAGCTATTACTATTCTATACTACTTCTTTCAACTTTTCAGGACAGATTTGTATATTATAAGTTTTAAAAAGAGATTTCTTGTAAGGAGTAATCATATTTCTCTACTTCCTCAAGGGCTGTGTACAAATCTTTGTATTTTTCATTTTTATATCTAAAGGCTCTTAGTTCTTTATTTTCATTCCCTTTGCCTTAGCCTTTCCAATATTATCCAAATATTTCTCAAAATCTAATTCATCATTGAACGAGGACGATAGAGACTCAGTTGCAATGTTAGTAGTCTGACAGCCCTGATTTGGATGCTCCAGTTGTTCTGAGAATAATTTCAGTTTTAGTGAAAGTTCATACATGTCTTTTTTTGCCTTTTTAATTTGTCCGTGATTCAATATACTTTCGGTGTACACATTAATCCTAGTAAGATACCATTGTCTAGTGAGCTTGTTTTTTTTCTCTTCAGTTGTTTATTAATGTGTCAATAAAATAGAAAATTTATAAACAATAATTAATATAGATAGTTCATAAATAAAAATAATAACTTAGTTTGTCATTATTTTTTTTAAATTAACTTTAATTTCAAATTCAAATTGTACAACAACAACTGGAGTCAGAGTCAATGTGTTTTTAGCCAAAAAATCTGCCTTACTCCGATTCTACGACTCCGAATCCATAAGCCTATCAAATATACTAATTTGTGCAAACAATATTTTACGTTACGAAATCAGACACAAAAACGTACTTTCGCTGAATAAACATTTTTTCCCCGACAGATTTGGATTCCTTACCCTCAATTTTCAATATACAATTTTTTACATTATTTTAAAGAATAAATTCAATATGGCAAAGTATAACGAATATATTGTACGAATCAGTCTAATATTTCCTTAGACATAAATTTAAAAAAAAAGTAGTACAGTTCAAATTCGATTTCTCGGGAAAATTTTGCCATAGATTTTGGAATAAAAAAAATTATAATTCTGAAAATCGCCCGGATTTTTAATAAAAAAAAGCCTTAAAAAATGGGTTTTTTAAACCTATCAAAAATAAATAAAAAAGCCCTCATTAATTAAACTATTTTTTAAATGTCGAGTAACTTTATTTTGCAAACTAAAATTACATACAACTTTCTACTGCTCTTCTATCCCTTATTAATACAATACTTTCTAGATTAAGGTTAATATATACTCCTTCCCGTATTCTGAAGGTCAAAAATGCAAATCAATAAATAAGAAGGAGAAAAAAACGCTTTTTATCAGATTTTATTTAAGAAGAAATAACACATACAGTTTAATTTTTTCTTTAGAGGAGAGGGATGCGGCAATTTAGTCTTTGTGTAAAAATTATGGCAATGTGATTTTGAATTTAAAAGGGAAAAAAATAACAGCATGCTTTATCCCGTCTCGCATGTCAAAAACCGTAACAAAATGATTCTCATACTTCGTAAATTCCTCGAGTACTGGTAAAAAATTTTTAGAATTAGGGAACTACTAACCATATATTGTCGCGCAGAAAGAAGCAGGGTCGAGATGATTGATTACACTGATTTATAGAACACATCTAATATGTTGTTATTGTTGTTACTAATCCTTCATGACCTAGCAACAGCTAGATCTGGTCCATGAATTCTAGCTAAGTCAATAACAAGAAGTGGAGATGTTTTTAGGTCTTCCAAACCCAGACCCAGGCAGTCCAGGATATGCTCCGAAGAGGCTGGCTCTGAATGACACTTATTGCAGGCTGGAAAAATTTTGCAGCCGGAGCTAAAAGGCATTCNAAGTCTCTTTGTGTTTTTTTTTTAATTTTTGAAATCTCACTTAACTTTTTGAAATCTCACCCTGTTTTTGAGAAAGGGTGAGAAATTCTCACCCATTTTTTTTCTGAGATGAAAACACTGCAGTGTCACTTAGGATGGTTTCCAATCCGGCGTCAATGGCGATGAGTTCGCTCCTAAAGACCGAGCAGTTATCTGGATTACGTCTAGAAAGTTTTAAAGAGTGGTTTTTGATTTAAAAAAATTCCGCTTCCGGTCTGACTAGGGTCATTTTTGCTTCCATCGTAAAAAATTTTCATGGCATCTTTAGGGATGTTGCTGATGGCCTCAAGAGCCAACAGTCTCAGATAATCAGGTACTTGTAGGTTTTTGTTCGTGTAGGTTCCCAGATCAGTATGGAAGAATACTTTGGGCAAGCCTTCGACAGGACAGATGCATGACATAAGAGAGGAAGGCTACACCTCTCTACATCTAATATACAAAACATCTAACACATCTAATATACATAAAACGATGTAATTGCGTTTCTGCTTGAAACGCATGAACTCACATGTAAATAAATAAGGAACAGAAAATAACGTAATGGAAGTCACTAGAAATTTTCAGAAGACATTCAAAGAATAAATAAAAGCTTAAAAAACATATATACATATTTACATTTTCTTTCAACTGGGAGGACAGAACTCAGAACCTCTGCTTCGCCAGGGCAATGACTTTTACCGCTCGACTATTCAGACATACATCATAACATCCTCTTTTGAAAAAACAGTGACCTCAGTGTTTCACTTAGTGAGACCTCTGGAAAGGGTCTTGGTGATAGGACCTTGGTATCCTACCTTACTCTCGTTTTTAGTTTGTGGGAGAGGTTTCTTCGATCTGCAATTTTCCTTATCTCCTAAATTTTCGGTTTCACGTGGTACATGATGGATCATAGTATGGTTTCATGCGCACCACGTTGACGGTGTACGTAGTTTTACGCTTTGATGAAGATGCGACGTCTTCGACTTCATACGTAACCTGTGATAGTTTTCGTTTTATTCTGTAAGGTCCAAAATATTTTTTTAATAAATTTTCAGACAACCCTATCTTCCGAACAGGTCTGAAAATCCAAACAAGCTCTCCTGGGGCATAAGACACTGGTTGGTGTTTTACATCATATAGCTTTTTATCTTTTTCTTGTCTATCGATTGTACGTATACGAGCAAGTTGTCTCGCTTCTTCTGCTTTACAAAAAATTAGTTTCAAACCCAGGTTGATGAGTAAATATAGTATCTAAAGTTGTTTCAGCTTCATAACCATGGAGAAGGTAATATGGCGTGAAACCGGTAGATTCTTGTTCGGCGGTGTTGTAGGCGAAAGTAACGAAAGGTAAAATAATAGCCCAGTCTTTTTGCTCTACTTCAACATACATCGATAATATATCAGCCAAAGCATTGTTAAATTTTTCTGTCATACCATTTGCTTGAGGATGGTAGGCTGTTGTAGTACGATGATCAACATTGAAGAATTTAAATAATTCCGCTACCACCTTTGAGAGAAACACAGTTCCATGATCAGAGATTAGGACTCTCGATGAACCATGCTTCAACAAAATATCCGCAAGCAGGAATTTCATTATCTCAAGAGCTTCACAGCATTGGGGAGAGTTTTTGTTGTCGCAAATCTGGTCAGATAATCAGTGCAAACTACGATCAATCTATTTCCATGAAGTGACTTCTGAAAGAGTCCTAGTAAATCGATTCCTGTTCTGTGAAAGGCTGCTTCAGTAGGTGGTATTGGCATCAAGCTTCCAGGTTGCATTTGTGGTATACGTTTGCGGCGTTGGCATTCTTTACAATGAGACACGTATCGTCTAAAACTACAGTAAAGTCTTGGCTAGTAGAATCTTTTCCTTATTCGATCTAACGTTTTAGCAAAGCCCAGATGACCTGCTGTAGGTGCATCGTGAAAATGTTGAAGGATTTCTTAGAATAATTGAAAGTGAATAATCGGCAGCCAATCTCGACCCACAGAATCATTTTTTTTTAAATTTATTATTATTTCCAATGCAGATTATGAACAGTTACAGCAGAAAACGAGTAAAAAGAAAGAACACAGAGTGCA